CCTCCCACTGCTAAAGACCCCTACGCGCAAGTGAATTATTGAAATATAAATGAACCATGTGTTAGTCCCGAAATGACCTAGTTTGTGTTGAATGGACTTTAAACCCCATCTCTCTCTCTCTCTCTCACTTCTCTGAAAATAATAGAGACAAGTGATCATTTTATGTTTAGATTTGTAGCCAATTTTCGAAGCCATTTGCTTCGTAGACCGCCTAAACAGAACTAGTTTACAGTACTTAAATACTTCAAAGTAATTGATGGCGGTTTGTGGCGATCTAGGAATTGAAAATTGACGATGATATAAACCAGCCAACGCCACCAATACTTTTAAGGGTTCTTTTTATTCTGATTGAATCAAAGCCATTGATATTTTGTTCTGTTTTCTTAATTAAATGTTCAATAATCAATCTGGATACATTTTAGTGTGGATGGAGCCATGAACAATTAGATATTGTCAGAATACTGCACATGTTGATCAGAAGCTTTATTGTGTTATTCAGTGGTATTAAGTATTGTTAAGTAAGATATTGATGATATGTTGTTTCAATATATTATGCAATGTCTTTAGCTCTAGACCATTAAACAACTTAAAATACAGACACTCCACACATGCTTTTCAATGAAATACACCACGCAAGTCCAATATTTTATCTAGTATACATAATATACGATTATGACGTTGCCCGTACATTATTGGAAATAATGGTACGCCAACATCAAATGATGACGTCACATCTGTATTTTAATAATTGTTGACTTGTATTATATTATTACATTTGGTGTATTATTACAGGAGGTCAGGTACAAGTAAAGATAATAACAGCGGGATATTATAATTCTGATGATGATTCTATTCATATTCTATCAGATGATGAAAGTCAATCATTTCAAAGTGTTATTATTTCACTTATGGTAAGTTATTAGACAATCTTATTTCATTCTATTTCATATTTTGTTCATATGTGTAAAATAAAGTGCTGTTAATTGACTTAATTAAGTTAGACAGTCTTAAGGTGTTAATATTTCTCTTACCATTAATAGAAAGTGTTATTATTTGACTTATTTAAAAATTTAAAAAGTGTTATTATTTCACATATTCAAAAAGTGTTATTATTTGACTCCTATAAAGGGTGTTATTATTTGCTTTTTTTTAAAAGTGTTATTATTTGACTTATTTCACTCATGTAAAAAGTGTTAACTCCTATAAAAAGTGTTACTATTACGCTTATTTTAAAAGTGTTATTATTTCACTCATGTAAAAGGTGTTATTATTTCACTCATGTAAAAGGTGTTTTTATTTCACTCATGTAAAAGGTGTTATTATTTCATTCATGTAAAAAGTGTTATTATTTCATTCATATAAAAAGTGTTATTATTTCACTTAAGTAAAAAGTGTTACTATTTTACTGATGTAAAAGGTGTTATTATTTCACTCATGTAAAAGGTGTTGTTATTTCACTTATTTATTCATAGCATATCCACTGTCTGTAGTCTTCACTCGTTGGCACAGTGACTACTTAAGAACTACTCTTGACTATTCAATATTCCAAATCATTATTTGAATACCAGTACATTATTTCATGTCATTATTCGAATGATACGAATATTCCAACATTCGATTCAGTTCAATTGATCAATTGCTGTGTTCAATGGTTTTTACTCACTGTCTATAAAATAAAATTGGATAGCCGAATGCTTAGCACGTGCACGTTGTATAATGTCTGTCGTTGAGTCAACTGGCATGGTTTTGATTCCCCGGTTGTACGTGACAAGGAGGAGGGTCGCCTGTCCAACTTCGTGGGTTTTCTCCAGGTCCTTCGGTTTCCTCCCACTGCTAAAGGTCCCTATGCACAAGCAAGTTATTAAAATAAAATTGAACCATATATGTTAGTCCCGAAATGACCTAGTTTGTGTCGAGTGGACATTAAACCCCATATCTCTCTCTCTCTCTATAAAATAAGAGTGAACATGTTTTTATATTCCAGACTGGAGGAGATGATGCTGTTAAAGAAGAATCTAAACATAAAGCACTGGAAGATAATTACAACCAGGTCTGGAGTTCAAAAAATACAAAATCAAAAGTTCCTAAAGTCTAAAATATTATAAAATTCATTTGTCATAAGTAAATTATCGGTTTTGGGGTTGTTGGTTCATCATCATCATCATCATCCTTATAATCGTCTATGTAAATTCTGTATATAATTTTATACAATAGATGTGTAAATATGTGCAGTGTGTAATCTGGGAATTGACCATTTGAGATACATTTCCTGGAACAATTTCTGTCCGCCGGAATAATTTTAGAATCTGTCCACCATTTTGTTTCTTACAATTAAACTTGAATGCTCTTTGTGCAATACAGATGACCAATCTGATTAAAATACAGATCTATATTTCGTTACGTTTTTTATACTTTCGATGGCTTACACTACATGAAGATCTGACTAGTTGTAGTGGGAGGTTGCGTCAGAGGTCATGTGAGTGGCTTTTGACCCTATGGCATCAGACATTGATTAATCAACCAGCATTGATGTTTCTAGTGGTTTACCTACAGTTCCGTGCATTGCACCCCAAGAACTCGCAGTAACAGACTGTTTCATTGGCTAATCCCTCACATCAACCAGAATGCAGGTTGTATAACAACTCTTCCAGATCCTAGTGCTGTGAAGACAAGTAAAACAAAATTTTGAACTATAAAAAAAAACAAATGAAATAGGATATGTGTTTTAATCAGATTGTACAGATGACTTGAATGGTGGATGATTCTGTTATTTTTGATAATCTCTCTGTGCACAAAGATCTATAATATAGCTAATGTAAAGATCCACTGACACTAGGGCTTGTTATATAAGGTTATACGAACCAATCTTCTACTGCAACCTGCCTTACATAAGCTCATGCTGTAACTGGTATTGCTTTCTAATTAAAAAACAAGAGTTATTTCTATTGTTATTTGGGTAAGTCATGATACAGCTGCACTAATAATACAGTGTGACCAGTTGACCACGTTCTACATGCCTCATGTTCTGCACCTGATGGGCCAATCATCAGCCAAACATTGGCATAGCATCAAATCAAAAGACAGGTTTCTACATACATAAGGCATGTGTGTATTGGTAATTTTTACTTAATATGGGCAATTTTTAGGTATTTTACACTGTGCAAGAGGTCATTTAGGGGCTATATAGAGACAGTGTGGGCTGGCATTTTAGAGACTATGAAATATATAATGTAGATTATGGTAGCAGGGCTCTTATTAGTGCATTTTGTGCCTTTTGATGTCCAAATGAGTCAATGGTTACACATGGATATTCAAATATTTAATGTAATTAGGACTAGCTACTTCTGTTTAAGAAGAAATATGTTTACTTCTTGAAAGTTGGAAGTAAATGAAAGATTTTCAGATTGTGATGTTATGAAAATGTCTGACTGACAAAATGTTTAAATAAGAACCCTGATTGATTAGTGTTTGATTAGTGTTTGTTACTGTGATATATGTACTAGTGTTTATAATAATTATATATTTTGTATAAGTCAATATATCGATCTACTGCAATACAAGAAATTAATTCCTGTACGCATTTAGATTAATTTATGTATGCATTTCGGTTCTATAAACCAAAACCAATAAAATAACACCCAGGTATTGAATAATCAGATGTTAGGCAGAGCTATTGTTTTGACACCCTCAAAACTATTAACCAGAGCTATTTTCAAACTTAATGCCCCTAAAAACAATAACTTACTAGTAAATAACTAACACCACTCATAACAAATAACAGAGCTCTTGCCAAACTTAACACCCCTCCCAACAAATAACAGAGCTATTGCCAAAATTAACACCCCTCCCAACAAATAAACAGAGCTATTGTCAGACTTAACACCCCCACCCAACAAATAAAAAGAGCTATTTTCAAACCAGCATGGTATAAGTGTTGATTAATTAAATGGTAGGTGGGTAGTTGTGTTAATAACATACAATGATAGGATTATCTGATAATTGGTGTTTTTGCCTTTGTTAAAATTACAAGAAGTCACTTCATCTGAGAAAGAATTAGGGTGTGGCAGGTTGCATTATTTTCTATACTGATGTAGTAATTTGATAGTAGTATTTTGTTCTCATTTACAATACTTATTCATCAATTTTTTTGATTGATATGTGGGTGGGGGGGGTGTTTCAAGCAATATTTATCATAAATTAATAATAAGTTGCTGTTAAAATTGGAACATGTAATAGAATAATCAGAGTTTCTACTCCCTCCTTTTATTTATTATCCCAACTTGGTAAAATTTATTGTTTTAAGAGTTTGCAATTGATATAACTAGTCAAGAAGATGTATACTTTGTATGATAATATCACTAGAGTGTTTTGGCCATGTTGTTTCAATATTAGATACTTTCTTCTGTCAATATAAGTCTCTTTCCTTTGATCAAACAATCTAGATATTTAAATTTTGATTTAATTCCAAAATTTAACACTCATGTAATCTATTAAAGCATAAAGCATTTAAGATAAAGGTAATGAAAGCACCTTTTATTTGTTTGCCATGCATGCTACTATAAAGCCGTTTCCACTTAAAAGTGAAGCAAAACGTTAGGTCAAACCGTAATAAATAGTTGTAGAGTATTGTGATCAGCGTAAATGTCTAACGTTTAGCATTTGGCAATCTAATTTAGCCAGTGGGAATGTACAGAATAGTTTACATATAAATTATGATAGTTTACATATAAATTATGATAGTTTACATATAAATTATGATAGTTTACATATAAATTACGATAGTTTACATATAAATTATGAAATTACGATAGTTTACATATAAATTATGATAGTTTACATATAAATTATGATAGTTTACATATAAATTATGATAGTTTATATATAAATTATGATAGTTTACAGTTTACATATAAATTATGAAATTACGATAGTGTACATATAAATTATGATAGTTTACGTATAAATTATGATAGTTTACATATAAATTATAATAGTTATGATAGTTTACATATAAATTATAATAGTTTACATATAAATTATAAAATTATGATAGTTTATATATAATTATGATAGTTTACATATAAATTGTGAAATTACGATAGTTTACATATAAATTATGATAGTTAACATATAAATTATGATAGTTAATTATGATAGTTTACATATAAATTATGATAGTTTACATATAAATTATGATAGTTTACATATAGTTTACATATAAATTATGATAGTTTACATATAGTTTACATATAAATTATGAAATTACGGTAGTTTACTATCTACATATAAATGATATATTTCATATTTGTTTTAATAGCTTTCATTATATAAGCTTTCTTTATACAATGATTCATGTCATTTTTGTATTTGTTTATATATTTATATGAAGGCCTCTTATCCAAAACATGATAAACACTCTTCCATTTTTGGTGAAAAAACATCCCAAAGAAAGTATTGAAATAGTACAGGGTATAATTTTTTATTAACAAAAAAGCATTTCTTATTTTGCAGAGAAACAGAGTTTTCTCTAAAAATATGAAAAACAAGCAATATCTGTAGTATGAGTTTCTTTGATTAATTATTGGTCTGACCAAATTCAGACCTTTTTTAAATTGGAGGGGGGTTGAATGGCCGAATGGTTAGCACGTTCGTGCTTTATCATAAGACCTGTCATTGAGTCAACTGGCATGGTTTCGAATCCCCGGTTGTACACGACAAGGGGTAGGGTTGCCTGTCCAACCTCGTGGGTTTTCTCCGGGTCCTCCGGTTTCCTCCCACTGCTAATTTACAGAAAAAGCTCAGGATCACCTGTATTCAGTCTGTTTTATACGATGAATTATTGATTAACCCTTTCTCATGTGGTATATATAAATATTGACTACCTCTCTTCTCTGAAAAGGGGGGGGAGTTGGATGGCTGAATGGTTAGCAAGTGCACGCTGTATCATAAGGTCTGTCATTGAGTCAACTGGCTTTGTTTTGATTCCCCAGTTGTACGTGACAAGGAGTAGGGTCGCCTGTCCAACCTTGTTGGTTTTCTCCAGGTCCTCCGGTTTCCTCCCACTGCTAAAGACCCCTACGCGCAAGCGAATTATAGAAATAAAATTAAACCATATGTTAGTCCCGAAATGACCTAGTTTGTGTTGAGTGGACGTTAAACCCCATTTCTCTCTCTCTTTTTAAATTAGCAGTTGTGATACTGGTTGGCTCCATTGGCTAGATCTGATATTTGCAATTGAATTTTATCTGTCAATCAATGAAAAAAAATGCATCCTTCACATATACTATATATAAGGCCCCTGAATTTATTATTTGTTTGCGATATCAACCTATGTGGAAGTGGACCTAAAACTCCAGGAAAGAACCAATGATTATATAGACACAAAAGGAATTGTCAAGGAAAGGAATGAATGGTGTTTATCATGTCTTGTAAAAATACTCTTGTATGGTTGGTTTAACTGCTAGATGTGTTTCTAGATACTGTGTAAAAGTACACTTGTATTATAACAAGTTTAACTGCTAGATGTGTTTCTAGATACTGTGTGTTGTTAATTTATATAAAATATATATTAAATAAAATCATGTTAAGTTTTTAAAAGAGGTTACGGTTTACCTTGATCTGAATTTCTAATATTGGCATGCTCTTATTCATTCCAAATAAAACCATTTGAAAATAATCATATATAGTATTTGTTAATATTCTTTCAATATCATTTCAATGCTGCTGCTATTGAATGGGGGCTAACGTGGATGAAAGGGTTCAGGGAGCGGAAGGGGGGCTGCATATCACCAAAGTCTGGCCAAAGAAGTTTTGAGACGACAATAAGAGATTTTTCAGGGATATTGGCGATAGGAATTTCCATAGATATATATTCCAGCAAAATATATGACACTACAGTCGCTATTGTTCTGACTTCGGACTAACTACATGTCATACATATCCATTATACAAGCTTTAAACAACATTTAGACCTATTAGGTCTACAGATCAGCTTTAAATGATTGCTTGGTTTACGGTACAACAAACTATAATCTATAGACCTTACAAGAAGACAATAACGTCTTGGTATCTACAAATTTAAGTGTTCCATAAGATCAGAAACTATACAATAGTACTAATAACTGTTCCTCGCTACAAGCCAGGACAGTTTTGCTAGGGAAATACTTCTACCCTCTCTTCATTCTGAATGATATCCGTGAAAAATCTAGCGCGCTCCTCTATTTAATGGCAACAAACGCTCATAGAATTGGATGAATCAGATCCCCTTTCCGCCCAGCTCCACACACACAGGACTAATTGCGGACCCAGCTTATATGGTTGCCTACACTGCGATTTACTTTAGAGGGATTGGCTGGGATGGTAGGAATTGTCCTGTGACCCATGATCTGTACCAAACACTGACCATAAATGTAGTGCCAGATTTCGGTCAAGGAAATATGCCACTTCATTTCGAGGACACTTAATTAAAGGAGACCAGTCTCTAACTTAATATCATCCACAGTCTGCGACATTGAAAACACGACTTATTGGTCAATTTAAATCAACATTGATAGGCTTTTGGTATCCAATATTTAAGACAAAATGAAAATTTTAAAATTGGCACACAATCGCATTTCAGAATGCTTTCGAAAAGAGATTTAGATCCTTTAACCTCAAAACGTATTTGCAATGCAGACAGATCTCTCGTAAGAATGGAGGCAATAATATATCTGTGTATGCGGCCATATAGTATTTTATTTATTTAGATTTATTTTTCCCACGAACAAGCCAATCTGGTGTTGATATGTGTTAAACTTCCTTTAAATGCGATGACAATTTTAAATTATGTTGACTAGACGTTTAAAGTAATATTATATAATATCATAATGTGTTTTATTATCCACCAGAGATCGTCTGATACCAAGACATCTAGACTAGATTACCCTAGTTGGATTGTACCCTTAAAACAGATTTTATTTGATGTAAAGGTTAAAACACTTTTTTTAAAAAATATTTTCTCAACATACAAGAGTATGTCGTTAGTTACTAGCCGATGACAAATAAAAAAACCCAAAGTTATCTGGTAACAATTGCATACAAAAGGTTGAATCAACGTAAAAGATTCGACTGACGAAAAGGACAAAACGTGAAAAGGTTTTTGGATCAGTTTCAAGGAGGTCTGAAGTACACAAAACATGCGGTAGAAATTTTGATACAAATAAAACTAGGAATATGTAGAATAACTTTGTGAATTGAAGTTAGCCAATGCCACATGTTGTAGGTTTATTTTGTAATTGCATATAGCGATAAAATCTGTCGTTACTCGTTATTCTCTCCTGGGATATAGTCTGCCAATAACCCACCACTGTATAGTTGTCGGGTTCTCGACAGATCTTGTTTCAGTTTTATTGGATTGCCTACCACCGTTTACACAAATTGTAAACAATAATTGTTTGATTCATTGCAGTGATCCCTAACACAATATAACATGAAATTGTGAGCTACGCAAACTTCCCAAACAATCAAGAAGTGTACCATGGTGTTCCAGAGAGGGTAAGAAATGATTTCTGTACTGTGCTATGGTTGATGGGCATCCGCCTGTTGTGTGCTATGAGACAAATTATGCCCGAACTGTGGCATTTTTTAAATTCCAACTGTCGTGGGGGTTTATGCGCAAGTCAATGTGTACACGGGGCCCTATCCTTTATTCTCCAACCTCCTGGGTTTTCTCCGGGTCCTCCGGTTTCCTCCCACTGTTAAAGACCCCTGAGTGCAGGCAAATTATTAAAATAAAATTAAAACCATATGTTAGTCCCGAAATAACCTAGTTTGTGTCGAGTGGACGTTAAACCCCATCTCTCTCTCTCTCTCTCTCTCTCTCTCTCTCTCTCTCTCCTTCATTCGCGCATCAAATTGTTTTATACCAGGTTAGGATCGATTGTATATTAGGGTGTGGCCTATGTGAGCCTGATGTAGTTAATGTCAGTGAAAGAAACTAGGAATGTGGAGAATCTGGTATCGATGATAGAATCAAGATGGTGGTGATTATTGATGGTTTTATTCAATCATTGGTAGAGATAATGCCACAAGTGGCAGCCTTTTATCGCTGCCTGGTAATCTGTGTTCAGATTTTACACTTGTGGTTTGAAGCTGTTTCTCTTCCCAGTTCATTGGGGGAAATACGGTGGCTCAGTGTGGAAATACGGTGACTCAGTGGGGGAAGTACGGTGGATCAGTGGGGGAAATACGGTGGTTCAGTGGGAAATAAGATTGCTCAGTGGAGGGAGGGGGGGGGGATACGATTGCTCAGCGGGGAAATAAGATGGGTCTGTGGGGTGAATACGGTGGCTCAGTGGGGACATAAAATGGGTCTGTGGGGGAAATACGGTGGTTAAGTGGGGAAATAAGATGGGTCTGTGGGGGATAAACGGTGGCTCAGTGGGGAAATAAGATGGGTCTGTGGGGGGAAATACGGTGGTTCAGTGGGGAAATAAGATGGTCTGTTGGGGGAAATACGGTGGCTCAGTGGGGAAATAAGATGGGTCTGTCGGGGAAATACGGTGGCTCAGTGGAGAAATAAGATGGGTCTGTGGGGGAAATATAGTGGCTCAGTGGAGAAATAAGATGGGTCTGTGGGGGAAACACGATGGCTCAGTGGGAAAATAAGATGGTTCACTTGGGGAAATACGGTGGCTCAGTGAATATGGAGCTGGCTCACTAGCCAGAGATTCACGAAAATTGGCATTGAAAGATTCTCAAGGTATCCCTCTGGTTTTCCCATGCCAGTGGTGCAGGGTGGAGGGTCTGACCGGGGAAAGGGCTATAGTCGTTCAGAAGTATTATACGGTCCACGAGTATAGTCGTTCAGATGGGACTTAAAACGGGTTCTACCTATATACTCGTTGACGCACACGTAACGGAATCATTGACAGTTCGAATTCGATGAAAATTAGGCAGAAACGCCACTGCCCGTGCTAAATTAACCTAATAGTAAACTACATTACCCTGGTTGTTGTAGACAAGATGAACCACGTTAAACCCGGTTTCATTTCTCATGTTCAGTGATATGATGTTGCTATTGCCCAACTGGTAAAGGTAATGACACGATCTCGGGCCTCATCCCTGGCGATGTGACGAAAACCCGAGGTCCAGTGTACACATTGGCGTGCACGTAAAATACCCCTTGGCAATTGGAATACGATATAACAGTAGGCCATAGTGCCGCTGTCCGGGAAAATTTCCCTCATAGCACAATTTATGGCGTTATGCCCGTCTTCATTAGCCCAGTCGTAGCAGAAAAGTACGTCGGACGTTCAACCCCATTTTATCCCGGGTTCGTAACTTCATCTAATCCAGTGTTCCCCAATCTTATGGGTCAGATCGGACAGCACTAACCTACTTATTAACCAAATATTGTTCTTATACATGTAAAGACGTGACCTTCAGTTCTCTTTCTTTACCTAACGTCAAGTCTTTGTCCCTAGATACCACGTGTCTATGTGAATCCATTAACCTCCGTGACACGTTTTGTTGTTTTCGTTCATCCATAAAACATTTCTAGTCTTTGTATACAAACATCAAGTAAAAACTGAAATACAATAACGGTTGACCAATTAGTAGGTAATGTCAAGAATTTTACTTCTTTTGACGGCAAGTAGATGACCGATAGATTGACCTACGTTTTCAAAGTACAAATTGTATAAAGATGAACAGGGGCGGACAAAGGATGGAGCCTTAGCACCCCCCCCCCCACACACACACACAACAATAATTCATTTATATTTCTGTTCTTATGAAACCTGTAAATTTGGGCATTTTTGGGTTGGTTGTGCTGATGGGGGATGGGGTGGGGTTTACACCCCAATTTTTCAAATCTTCTCGAAGGAGAACAACCCACGTACCGGCCTCTCTAAACCAAATATCCCGCGTCCGCCAGTGTACATGAATGGAGCCAAATCTCTATTTCCAGACTTCATATTTTAGCAAATTAAAGATACATGGGACATACCTTATCAATTTTCAATCAAATGAAATGAAATGAAATGGAGTTTAACGTCCTACTGTTTTGCTCCGAACTGGGCTAATGAAGACGGGCATACGCCATACAGTGTGCTATGAGGGAATTTTCAATCAACATCGGTGTCAAATCTAAAGCGTTAGAAATTGTTCTGGTTCAATTTGTTTGAGCTTTTAATATTTTATAACACAAACTGCCACCGGCAATTGGCCGTTCCAATGCTGGTCGGTGATTTGCGGAAAGCATCGAGTGGTATAGAATGAACAGTGATCAGAGGCCGACCCGATTTGCCACTTCCAGAAACATTAGCGAAAGCTCTGCCGGAAGACTCTTCCAGACATGCGAATCGAGTGAAAAACAGAAAGAAATATGGCTGATATAATCAGTTTATCTGCCATTGGCGTCATATTCCGCGGCCAAATATCTTCTGAGGGCGGAAGAGTCCAAATCAAGTGCGTGGTAGAGTTCTGCCGGGAGAGGAAGGAGACAAATCGAGTTCTGCCGGGAGAGGAAGGAGACAAATCGAGAGTAGCATGCACTATATTAGTAATTTACGCATGTGCATGAAATTCCCCGCCTTGTACCTCGTTTTATTCAATAAACAGTCTTCATGAGTCCGGTTGCTGCAGAAAAGTCAAAAGTCAAACCCAATTTCATTTCATTTGATTTATTACTTTAAG